CTCAGCAGATTCCGGACGCGTCGCAGAATGGCTCAGATTGTCGGGCTCCTCTGCGAGATGCATACTACGAGTAAGCGGTATCAAAGCGCGTCGAAGCCGTATTCCGCTTTGCACCAGAGATAGCGATCGGTTTGTCCACGCTGCGGGCCGCAGACCTCCGTCTGGGGTAGGTATTCGGCTTGTGTCTGCGCGGAGAGAAGAACGACGAGAGCCAGCCCGGGTCGTTGTCGCCCGATGCCATTCCAGCTCGCCTGAGTGCCCGAATGCTCGCCTGCTTGTTTGATTGCCCGCGTTGTGATGTTGGAATGCCGACCTGTTGCAGGGGCTCTGTGAGAAGTCTTTGGCATTGGGTTCGTGAGTCAGGACCTGAGGCTGAGTTGAGATCTGGGGTAACGGAGCTCGGTTGGTACGTATCGCATGCGACATTCTCTGGTTGAGGGCACCTCGGTCAGAGCTGGCAGTCTGGTTCTGTACCGTGAAGAGCGAGGAGTGGAGGTTGAGAGGCTTGTTTGTGAGTTTGAAGCCGATTTCCTGCCCATCAAGATACGCACCAGTCAAGCAATCAACAATTGCGCCGCCTGAAACAATAGCAGCCTGTTCCGTAAACCAGAGGAGTGAAGAATGATGGCTGGTAAATACACGCCGGTGTAAAAGAGCTTGGGATGCGGAGTGAAATGGTTGCATTCGAAAGATAGGGAAATTGCGGATGGGAAGGAAAGACGAAGCCAGCGTCGGGTGTAGTCATGGAGGCAAGTGAGATGGCGACAGACCGGGCAGGCGCCGCGTCGAGGAAACATACGCAAACCCCCATCTATCGTCTTTCCCCTTCAACGTCTTCGCGAAAAGAGCCTTACATGGTGCTCAGCCCCAACTTCATTGCCTCATATAGGCTAAGCACGCCTGCAATCAGTGAGGAGAGACCATATTAGCTTTGGCGATGCTTTGTCGTGCCCAAAGTTGTGTGTGGCTTCGGTAACTGACCTCTGACTGCCATTATCTCCTTTGGGGCCGAAATGATAGGACGGCGCCGCAGGAAGTCTGTATGCATGACACTATCACAGCGCATGAATCCCCACCAACGAAATGGATTGGCTTGCCCTTCACCAACGCTCTAAGCGCCTTCACTGATGTTTTTGCGCCATAAATGTCGACGGCCATCATTCAGAGAAACCTTTCCAATTCTCCAACATTGAGATCTAGAGAGTCTTTCTTGAATATGGGTTGGTGGGATGACTTCGCTAACAATCTCGCCACGGACCTTGGTCCCCTCATCGCGCTCTTTGGAGAAGCGCCTACAAAACAGTACCTAAGCGAAACAACAATGCCAGAAGACATTGTCATTTTCGCAATGGCGCCTATTGGAATTCTAACTGCGGTCGTGTCAGCGATTCGTGTCTGCGGGTCACCGTCTCTACGGGCTTTCATTGGGCGAGCACAGGAAGGAGAAGGAAATGCGGAAGTTGAGCTCTGTTCTTTTACCAGCCGGAACGTTGGTGAATTATACAACAACGGAGGCATCGCTCGTGTCTTTGGTACCCCAAAATTTCTGGAAATCATCTTTTATCCTGAAGCACTGAAAGAGGACTTTTATCTAAACCATTTCAAAAAAGCAAGTGCGGGAATCCATCTGCCCAGGGACTATTTCAAAAATCTCAAGAAAGAATCAGAGTGGACCGAAAAAGGCACGAGGAGGGGCAATGATACTGTCGAAGACGGTACCGAAACGCAGCACACGAAAGATTTTGCGCTAAATCCAAATCTTTCTCTCAAAGTCGGGATTCAGGAGCGTCCTAGGCTCTGGTTTTTGGTCGCTGCTTGCCTAGGAGTTACCCTGCAGTGTGGAGTATTGGTGTGGGCCGGCTTTTCCAGGTACACCTTTCACTTCATTCAGAGCAATTCTACGGCGGAGTACGCTGTACCAATGACTGTCACCGGAACGATAGTCGTGAGCTTTGGGGTAGGTCTATGCGCCCTGTTGGTGGACAGCACGACTGGAGAACGACGGTTCAAGAGAAACGGAAATTTGACGAACTACCAATCTCAGATGTACTGGATTCAACCAGGGAACCAGAAAATCGGCGATCAAGCCTTCGACTCATTCGCGTACACCAAAGACAAGAGTACATCAGAGTACATCACTTCATGGAAGAAGAAGAAGCCGGATGGGATGGAAAAGAATCGTGTCGAAGCTTTGGTCTGGCTTGCCGTCGGATCCTCAATTGTTGGTTTCATCCTGCAATTTCTGGGACTAAGAGCATGCCACTCGTCTGTGTCCGTGGCTCAATTGGGAGTCATGCTCGTAATGAGCATTGTCCGTGCGGGCCTCCGGACGCAGCGGTTAAAAGATGAGCAAAATCTTATTGGCAAGGACTCAGACATCTTCAAAGGCCACGAACTTGATTGGCTCGCACTTCAGTTAGGAAGAGACGCCAGAAGCCAACGTAAATGGCGGATCGCCTATGTTGGGACCGACTATTCACAAGTGGCCGCCTTTTTTGGTGACAAAAACCGGAAGTCGCTTTGTATCGGGGAAGAGTACCAGTTGGTCGGATTTCGACCGACAGACACCAACCATGAAGAAGCCGGGCTGAATCATTTTCCAGAGGGATGGCTCAAGGACTTCCAGAGCACCAGAGAAGGATCGCCACCGCATGATGCCGTCAAAACATTTCTTTATCGATGTCGACTGGCTCGAATCACCGATAATTGGACACAAACCCTGGTTCCTGTGCGAGAGACTGCTGCTGCACTAGCGAGAGCAATAGAAGGAACCGCCGACTTCATTTTCGCTGCTTTTGACATCAAATACGACTGGGACGAGGCTTTTGCCATGTACTGGCCGATCAAGTGTGAGCTGTTGGACCAGACTACCAAGCCTGGTGACGGGGCGCTTGAGGTGTTCATCTCGCTCAAACGCCATGTCGACTGGACTGGAAGCATCTCTGGAAATTGGAAGGTAGACGTGCCCGAGCTGGAGGCGGTGCTCGGACTTCAGCTGTTGGCATTGGACGAGTACCAAAGAAGGAAGCAATACGCAGAAGAAACGCAAAGCTCTCGAGAAATGCAGAGCATGCGGACTCTTTGGCAACTTCCCGACAATGCGGATTTCGACGTGCAATGCATGGAATACGACATGTGGCGAGAGAGCAGACAACCCAAAATCCGCAACGACGAAGTGGACCCACCATGGTCAAGAGACAAATCCTCCCTACGAAACGAATACCTTCCGATGCCTTTGCGATTCGGTTGGCGAAATATATGTCAAAAGGACCAGAATTCTGCGAAAGTGCGCGTTTTGGCACTGCCCACAAACCTACCTCTTCCAAAACTCTGCGCACAAGACATGTACTCGTCTTTTTTTCATGGCAATTCTTCGTATTATTGCGGATTTGGGAACCTATTACGCTGCAGAAGGGCTTTGTTTGAAATGGGACATCATCTCACGGACCCAAAACATATTCGGAGAGAGTGGCCTGGGCTCTGCGGAAGACGCTTTGATGTGTGCACTTCCAGTTCTTAAACTGCAAAGGAGAACGCCAACCTCGCTCCACATTGCTGTGCAACCCCTATTTCCAGGCTGGAAGGTCTTCTTGGATCTCTTGGATATTCAAGCCAATCAATATCCAAAAGTCAGAAACAGGGACACAAGCTCAGACGACCTCAAACAACATGAGAAAGTGGTCGATCTTCTATTGCGCAAGAATGTCGACGTCGATGCGAAAGATTACGACGGGCGCACTCCTCTTTCTTATGCTGCCTATGAGGGGGCAACATCGATAGCCAAGCTTCTCTTGGACAAGAAAGCCGATGTCAATGCAAAGGACAAGAGCATTGGAGCTACACCTCTACAAGAAGCGTTGAGCGACGATCCCGGCTTGATTAACAGACGGCAGAACCAGAAAGCCGACATCGTTAAACTCCTATTGCGAAATGGAGCTGACCCGAACTCGACAAACCACGAAGGGTTTACGCGATTGCACTTGGCCGCAAGTTTGGGGAGACCAGACATCATTCAAGAATTGCTTGAGAGAGGAGCAGATCCAAGCTTACGAAGTGACTCTGGACAGACTCCGTTGGATTCTGCACGCGAGTTTGAGGATATGAGCGCCATTGAGCTTCTAGAACGCAAACTGGGGATACGTAAAACGGTGGAAGAAGAATCCGAAGACGACTCGAATTCGAGCTCGAGCGACGCGGAAACGGATAGCCAGGGTGTGCGGTTGCCTGTCACTTCTCCAGACGATGGAAGACAGAGTGCTCACTTTCGTCCAAATTCGACAACCCACGAGATCACCATCAACATCAGAACGTAGACTTCCACGCTACTCGAAACCGGGTCAATAAATGTGTAGTTCCGGCCAGGAATCAAATTTATAGCCCAGAATCCAGATCCACTCGAGCAGTTCGCCTTATTTCATCGTTCGCCTTTCATGTGGTGATGTCGGAGGCTGTTTGGCGGCCATGGTTCATAACGGAATATTCAATTCGGCCCTGTGCTGGAACAAAAGTTGTGATACACAAAACGGAGAGCATGATGAACCAAAAGAAATGGAGTCCAGAAACAGAAATCCAAACCCCTTCATAGGATACGGACTTGAGCAGACACGCTTGTCGAGTGTGGCGGCCTTTACCATCGAGCCTCGGATCGTGATCGATTTCTAGCGGCATTGGCGTTGCGCTGAGGCAAAGCAAGATTGGACGAAACACTTGGGCGGCCGTTTGAGTTTCTTCCAAGCCGAGTCTAGTCGCTTGGATCTTTGATCGCCTTCTTCGGTGTCATGAGGCTGTGGCTAGCGGCGCCGTCCCTATTGAGGCCCCCTTGCGTCCCGGTTCACTCTCACCAAAACCCAATCGACTCAGACTTGACAAAGAATTCCCACGACGACTCTACGCATTCTCCACACTTCGCAGGCTGGAGAGAAGCTTGACAAGCTCGTCATTATGTTCTTTATATTTATTGTTTCCCAGGTCTTTTCCATCAACACCACAAAACAACAACTGGGTCTGTGGTCTAGGGGTATGACACTCCCTTAGCATCTACCTGTCCAATAGGGAGAGCTTGCAATGTGGGAGAGGTCCCGGGTTCAATTCCCGGCGGATCCATTCATTTTTGCCCTCTCGTGATAGAGATCGTGGTGTTGTAGTGTTGCGGTGATGGTGTTGAGTTTTTGGGGATGAGGTGTGCGACTTTTTTTTCTTTCCTTTTTTGCCCCATCACGGGCGCGAGACCTCATGACCTTGTTACTCCAGTTCAATATTGATTCAATGAACAGGATGCACAGGTAGGGAATGCAAATTTGCGCGTGGTTGATTGGTTGTCGCGAAGTGAGTGGAATTTTTCGTTGTGCGCTCGTGGAGGCGGAGAAAGCGCCGAGAGCCGGCGGCTGCTAAGCGCGTGTTCCCCGGTCCCCCACCAACAGTCGGCACGCGAAAGGCTCCATCTTCGGTTGGTCACTGCTCTGCGCTTGCATGCTCTTAACAGGGCCACGTCAATTGGTCCAAATCGTGTCGATGATTGAAAGCTGCACTGCCGCTATGATATCTTTCAGTCCGCCTGAGACGACAACACCGTCCAACGCCCGGCCTGACAGCCTTGAACTTGCAAGCTTCTGGAAAGCGCCCGCCCTTTGAAACGAAGGAAAGACAGCTCATTCATTCTTCGCGACCTCAACGGTGCTTGAGGGCTTCCTCGCGGAAATGGCGACGTACCGCCAACGTCCGTGTCCCCGGTATGATTCCACTCCGGCCACAGTATTGATGAAATATTTTTCCAGCCCCAAAAGAGTGATGATGAGGAACGGAACGTAGGCGAGCACGTAGAACAGCCTCGTCATGGGCCTGATGTTCTCAGAATAATCTCGGACAACAATATCGGTGAACCCAACTTCCTCAAGCATCTCTTTGAACACGCCCGGGTGCGACAGAGCGTTCGTCGGCATGGCGGCGAAGTCGTTGATTTTGCGCATCGACGCTGCCATCGCCTCGGGCGAACTGTCGACGAGTTCGTGGTCATATTCGAATAGGGACAGACGACCGTCGGCGCGAAGAAGACGGTGGAAGCCAGAAAGCACCGCTTTTGGATCGGTGGCGTGCACAAATGTCTCCATCGTGTAAATACCGTCAAACGGCTTGTCTTCCAGGCTTTTCAAATGATGGTAATCCATTTTGCGCACCGTCACCTGTCCCTCCGGAAGGCCGGAACGGGCGATGTTGCGATTCGACTTTACCAGGTGATGGCCCACAATGTCGATTCCTTGTACCCGGTACCCGTGTTCCTTTGCAAGACGGATTGCGACATGACCAACTCCACACCCAGCGTCGAGAACTCGAGCTCCTGATGGAAGGTCCAGCGAGGCCGCCATCTTGTCTTCCATGGCCCTGAGCGATTTGCTGAGAGGAAACGGCCAGTACGTGTCATGCTCGTAGTAACCGAAGTGCCGCGTACCACCAAGTAACAATCGGTATCCGATTCTCGACTCGAGCGAATGGTAGTAAGATTGCAATTTGGGATTGCTGTTTATCAGAGGCTGGCGTTCAGGTTCAGATGTCATTTTGTTCGGAGGGTTGCAGAAACGCTGCGCGAGGTAGTCTGGGTTTGAGGAAGGCTTGTGGACGAAGATACAGCGGCATGCAATGAGGGAAAGAATAATTTCCAGCGGCAGCGACTTGGGAGAGAGAGGAAGGATATGCGCCAGGAACTTCGACGCGACTGGCGTGGGGCTCAGCGGCTTTCTCAAAGCCTTGAGTGGCTTGGAGCGTATTGGCCATGGATAATGACCAAGCGACACAGTAACGTAGATGAAGCCTTGCTCTTGACAATCCAATCCAGGACGAACGTATCAAAGAAGTGCGGAGGCCGGAGGCGCCAGCTCTGCCTGAAGATAGCGGTGCTGGGATGGCCAGCTCCACAACTTTGCATGCGTAGCAGGTGCCCTAGTGGCTGATGGTCGTCGTGCATGCGAGCCTCGTTCCAACTTGGATAAGTGCGGCGCAGTGAGCATCCTGGTCCTGGAAAAGTTGACCCGGCGAAACAACACATCCCCCACCTTTGACTCCAGTCCAAAAGCCTACACGCAAACGAAGGCGGTCAACCTTAGAAGAGCCCAAAGATGAAGATTCAAACATTTCAATTCCCACAAGTTTGCGAACTTTCCAGTGGAAATGGCGCATTTTCGCAGCAGCGAGGATTGCTGCTGCATTAGTTTCATTTGGAGAAAGAATTCGCTGTCTTTCTCTGCGACATGAGACGGAATTGTTGCAGCTGTGTTTCCCCACGGGACAGGAACGGCTCCTTGGTAAGGTGTGTGGGGTTGATTCGGGAAGATCCGCCGAACAGAAAGTGGCTAGTGATACTCGAGGCCTGTTTTCATCAATACTGGCAATGCAAGTCGAAGCTGGTGAAGAGACATGCCTTCATTTGCGACGGAGGCGAAAATATGAACATCATGGGAGCGAAGTGATCATCGAGAAAGACAAGAACCAAGCAGAGGAGGCGCGACTTACAGCAAAAACATGTGGCCAAACATGACCAGTGTCAAAGCTATCAGGTTGACAACAACCAATTCTGCTATGGCTCACAGTACAACTGCAGCCTCACCATGCGCTTTTTAGGATTGATTTGCCGAACTGACGCCCAAATCTGCAGTGACAAAGCGGCTTATCCAAAGGACCTAGTTTGACCTCAACTTTCTGCTCGAAGCCACCAGGATTTATGAAGACGCTCCCAGAAGTCCGTCTTACGCTCTGGGTCGGCGGATTGCCAATCAGCTAATGGAATCAAGCCAGGAAAACGGCGGATTTACTCGAAATGCAGAAAAAAGAGGGCATGGAGTAACCGGGACGATGAGAGGAGAGCTAAGCGCTGACGGTGGTCCCGTTTTGACGCAGGTTGAAGACGAGGCACAGTCAATGTATTCTGAGCCGGGGACTGCCGATCGCTCTGTTCCAATCAACACAGTTGCTGAATATTTAAAGCCTTTGCGCATGTCTGCCGATTCGTCACTGGAGACTGGACAGGTCCTTTCGAGGGATCTCCCTTCGTCACTTCATCTGATACATCTTTGCGCACTGGGGGCGTCTTACCTATTCCCACGAGCTCAAAGATACCCCGTTCTTGCAAGAGGACATCACTCAGTCATTTCGCAAGTGCGAAATCTCGCACGGGTCGCAAACAACGACGTGATCGAAGGCTGGAAATCAACCGGAAACGACAGAGGCTCCATAGACATCCTATGGGCATCAATAATTACTACCATTTTGTGTTGATGGGTTTCAACATACCCCAATGTCGGCTCGCCAAAAGACAAGTGGTATCACACTTTCTACGACAAATTTAGCCTTGCCCTCATCAGTGTGCTCGGCCCAGACTTCTTGTTCGGAATCGCGTTTGGACGATTCTGCAGTGCAAGGAGGAGTGTGAAGGTGAGCAGCGACTCGGATCGAAAGACCAGTATCCCCGAACCAGAATGCATTTGACTTACTGAGAAGCACGCAGATATTTAGAAGAGACAGCCATCTGTGCAACGGTACGCAGTGGACATACACTCATGGGTTCTTCGTAGACATGGGAGGCATTCACCTTGTCAGCCCTGATTTTCCAGAAGGGTTTCCCATCAACGCAGAGCAATTCCACTACCTCGTTCTGCACCAGCACATTGACTTTCCGGACATGAAACAAATGGCAATCGAAGAGCGAAACTCACTGGACACTCTTTCGCGGTGAGTAAGGCCATAAAGGAATTGGCCTTTAACTTACGCCCCTATAGCGCCATTACGGTGTTCCAGGCCTTGTGGTTCCTCGTCACCGAGATTTAACGCGTCAAAGTCGGGCTACCAATGACCACATTGGAGTTGACGGCACTTTCTTTCGCATTCATAATGTTTGCAACTTCCTTGGCCTGGTATTCGAAGCCGTCCATCACAAAGCCACAGCCCATTGGGACCAAGGATGGAAAGACAATAGAGGAAATTAGAGCATTCGCTAAGCGACATGTCAGTCACATACACATTGATGATGCGATCAACCTGCTTACAGTTGCGTAAAAGACCCACCCGCAGCTTTCAGACATGTGGTATCGGACGCCACTTGAATTTGTTGGCCGAAACCAGTTTCGAATTGATGCCCACTGGAACTATTACGTCAAGCTGGCGCAGATGATGCACTTTCCTTTCATATCACGGCCGATAAAGTCGCAGCCTTGGGATCGATTTCCGTCAGACGAATGGCTTTGCCCGGACGTCTTGTTTGCTCCTCTGGCAGCTGTCGTGCTGATAGTATTCAGCATTCTCTTCCTCTTCGCGTGGAATTTCCATTTTCCGTCCAAAGTCGAGCAACTCCTGTGGAGGATCTCCAGCGTCTACCATGCATTCTTCTGCCTCTACGGTGGGCTGTACTATTTGATCGAGGTGCTCAATTGCCGCAGACGGGCGGAATTCGAAGAACAGGAGCGGCCACAGCCTGTCCAAGATCTGGAGTCCCAAGCAGCAGGATTCTTCTCGTGGCATCCGGAGTCTGGCATACTTGAACGCGTCAAGCAATTCCTGGAACGTAGTCGATCCGCAGGCAACGTTTCCCTGGACCAAGACCCCGATAGGAAAGTGCCCCTCCGAATCATTATACCAGTAACGTTTCTTTGTTTCCTTTACGTTATGTGCAAAATCTTCATCTATTTTGAGGATTTGTTTGCCCTGCGAGTGCAATTGGCGGGTGTTTATGTAACCGTAAACAAATTCTTTCCATTTGTAGGGACATGAGGAGAAGCCACCTCATTATGTTTCTATTGGTATGGCAACTTGGCTGGTCCAAAAGGGGGTCGATAGTCAGGACGCAGTTGGTGTCAAAAGACGTGACGAGTCTTGGAACTGCAGGCCAGATCCGGGTCGCTGTCATTCCTGTGGAAACTCATTACAGAGAGCTAGAACCAATCGCGCCCGTAATATTGCACCCCTTGTTCCTCGACTAGACCGACGTACAGGTGTTGGGATTTTTCTTCGTCTCAATAAATACCTTGTTTGTGATGCCATCTGCTACTGTCAAGTACCGAGTCTATTAACGAGAGGGTCGCGCAACATTGGTAAGTCGTGGGACGGAGGATAGCACGCCA